AAAAAAAAAAAAAAAAAAAAAAATCATCAACTAAAAGTACATTTTTACGGAGAACACCATCATTACCTATAGTACCCTTACCAATTATTTTACCTTCTTGTTGTCGCCAAGAGTTACTAAGCCACCATCCTTCTTAAAAAGACACACAAACTTGGATTGATTTCCCGTCATGTGTCTTGAGTAACCACGGTTCAAATACCACTTATTTTTCTTAGAGACTTTCAAATAAAGTCTATAAACAAAAATATTAAAAATTGACCTTTTGATACCCATACTTGTTTGGGTCCTAACAAGTTAGTTTTCACAAATTTAGGAATCATGTTTGCATTCATATTAAAAAAACTTACCACACGAGAAACAAACAGCATCATGCATGAAACTTACCACACGAGAAACAAACAGCATCATACATGAATTTATTTCTTGGACTAAGTTTATGTATTCTATTTTCAATAGAAAAATTATTTCTTAAAACATTGCTAAATTTTATATTTTGAGAAAATTTTCTTACGGGAGTAATGTTTTGAGAATTTTTCAATTTAAAGCAATTAGGTCTAATATGACCTTCAACACACAATAATGACATGCAGACACAAATCTAGATTTATCATATTGAGATACAACTTTGTATGCGTTAGGCTTAGACATAATAAAAAATGCTTTAACAAATATTGTTTTAGAACTTGAAAGTGTAGAACATTCATCAATATAGCCTAATCCTCTATTATCACCATAAGGCTCACCAGCTTCAATTATTTTATCTAACTTTTGAGCACTTAACTTTAGAATAGACTCTTTAGCCTTGCCAAATTCTTGCATAATATGTTTAATTAATTTATCTTTTTCACAACAATCATGCTAAAAAAATTTAATTTTATCAATTAATGCAATTTTCTCATCACAATCAAATACATGCTTTTCACATGGTATATCAAATTTTACAACATTAGGATTATTCTTTGTTAAGAAAGAAATTTCATTTAATAAAGACTTATTTTCAATAATTGAAGTCTTATATTTCTTTCGAAGCATAATCTACTTTGAGTTTTTCCAAATCAAGTTGCATCTCCTTAAAAATTTTAAATAATTCATCGTAAGAAGGAGATTCAAGAATTACCTCGTCTTCTTCATCCTCTTTGTTACCCTGAGCCACGACTTCATCCTCTTTGTCACTATGAGGCATGAAGCAAATACTTTTTCATAACACACATAGATTGCAAATAAATTTTCATTCTAGCTCTCCAATACGTATAATTAGATCAATCAAAATAAAGAGGTCTAGAAGTTGATTGTCCTTCACAAAAACCAAAAAGCGTGTAACGCGTAGATTCACCATGATCTATAAAAATGAAATTTATAAAAAAAAAAAAAAAGAGCAACCTGTTCTGATACCAATTGTTGGATCGATATGACAACCATAGAGGGTGAATAGGGTTTCAAAAATGTAATTATTAATTTTTTTTTAATAACAAAAAAAACTTATAACATGCAATAAAAATTAAAATTTAAAATTTAAATAGGAAAAGGGTTAGAAAATATAACAGCCTAGTTTTATAGTGGTTCGGTCAATCTCGACCTACTCCACTCACCAAGCGCCTCTTGAAAATTTGAATAAAACTTTCTAACTCTTTCCTCGGATCAGAGCCCATCCGCTACACCGCTCCTTTTTTACGAGTGCAAGAGCAAACTCAATCTTTTCCACGGCTCAAGATCAAACCGGTACAACTGTCTAAAATCTTATAGAAACACACCACAACTAATAGATTTACAATTTTCTCACAATACAATAGACATCTCTCTGAGGAATAAGATAAAAACTAAATAGAATTGAAAACTTTGTTGAAAACTTTGGAGAGAGCAACAATGGAGGCTTTTAAAAAAGTTTGGATCGAGGAAACTATAGAACTCGTGTATTGTCAAATGTTCTGTGTACTGTGTTCTGAAAAATATGAAGAGGTGATGAGTTTAAATAGCGATCAAGTTGTAAAAATAGGAATTGATACAGACCACTAAAACATGAACAGAAACCTGGACCACGAAAAGAATAATATTTATTTATTTTTAAATTTATCGTAAAAAATTATAGACCACATGTTTCATTTAAATATATATATATATATATATATATATATATATATATATATATATATAATTTTAAATAAATATTAAAAACATTTTAAATTCATTTTTATTATTTATATATATATATATGACATATTGAAATATAATAATATAATAAAAAAATGTTAATGAAAACGAGGTGGGTAACATTTTAAAAGTAATTGAAAAGTTTTATAAATCTAATTGAAACATTATAAACGTAATTGAAATGATTTTGTAAATCAAATAATTTTCTTTCTAACTAGATGTAAATGAAATCATTATAATTTCTTTTCATTTAAAAGTAACCGAAAATTTTTATAAATGTAATTGAAATGATTTTATAATTCAAATACTCATCTTTTAATTCAAAAGTAATGGAAAACTTTTATAAATGTAATTGAAAACTCCACCATTGTTACTCTACCAAATTTATAAATGTCATACTTCGATTGGTCTATGATGTCAATTTTGTCGTTCGTCCATGATGGCAATTTTGTCACCACATCATTATGTCGGGTATCTTGTTTTAACTGAAACTTCTTCGTTTTATCTTTAATTTGAGTGAACCAAAAAAGACGTTGAAATCGTTATTCCCAATCTTACACTGTGGACAAAATACTGAGAATGGTTAATAATTGAAGGTAGGTTTGTTATCATCAAAACATCAATTAATTAATTAATTAAAATTAATTAATTTGAGATTAAGGGTCAAAAAGCCAGCAGTGTACACGTTCATACTTAACATACAAAAGAAGTAATTCATACTCATGTGACATATAACATGCATGAGGCCTCGCATTAAAAATCATGGTTCAATAAAATGATGCACATAATATTACTATGTTTATTATGACATAAATTCCTTATGAGACATGTACATATTCATTAATTCCATTCATCCTTATCATACTATACATGGGACATCGTGGTGTTTCACAAGACATAAAATCAAACATGAACGACAAACATGAAGTACATGTTTCACAACATTCACTAGAACACCATAACATAAATAATAACACGTAAATAGGGCCACAAGTTATGTGTTATTTATGTAACAATCAATTCATCGAACCCATCCCGTAGGCATTATAATAGTAAGCCTACTTACCGTTTTCAGTCTCAACTTGATACTCCTAAATTCATCATCACTAATCGTTCTTAGTTTTAGCTCAACCAAAATTCATCGAACCTATTGCATAGACGTTCTAATAGTAAGCCCACTTACCGTCTTTCAGTCTCAACTTGATGCTCTTAAATTCATCCTAGCTAATCGTTCCTAATTTCAGCTCAACCAAAATTCAGATTCACCTATGATATTTTATTCACTGAAAACTGAGCCCAGAGTCTATATAGAGCCAACATAACTTAACTATCCTACAAATCAGTCATAAAACAATGTTAAATATTATTAAGCAATACCTATACTAACATTTTTCGGTCTTAATTATGTCTGAAACGATTTTGGAACGATCCAAAACGGCCAAAGTGAGCCAATAAAGCCAACCAAAGCTAAACTAGCACTAAGCCCTAACACTAACATGAGTTCAAAATCTAGTTGTTTAAACCATTGGATTAAGAAGTTTAGGAACATGATTAGAATTTGTTTAATATTGAGCGGCTAAATGGACATATTTCTAGAACTATGCGACTAAATTTGTAAATTCAACTGTTCTTATAAACGGGAGCAACTTGTGATTGAAATTTTGATTCAACTTGGAAATTTGGTTGAGAGTTGAAGCAACATGGAATCACTGAAACTTCAATGCAGCATCTGAAGTTCATATTCCCAAGAACATTCAAGAATCTTCAATTCTTGAATTTCCTGAAGCTGAGCAGTTGCAGAGATGGCGTGGAATCTGATCTTTTGGTTCATCTCTTTCTGTATCAACGTCGCCCTCCTCGTCCTCAACTTTTACCAGGTGCGTTCTTTCTAATCTCATGAACCCTAGTTTCGGAATCAACTATCTTTATGATAGATTAAGTTGCTGTTTGGTTTCCGAGAAAGTCTAAATGCGTCTGCTGAAACGTAGTCCGAATGTTCTTGTTGTTGTTGTTGTGTAATCCTGTGGTAGCTTATTCGGTAAGGAGTGGAGGTTTGATGCGTATCTGAGATTCGTTTTGCTGCGACAGAGCATTTGGACCTCAATTTGATTTACGTCTAGACGTCGCCTAGATTCTGATGATGGAACCTTTACACTTTCGCTCGACCTGAAATGGATTTATGACTTCGTTCCATTTCACCGTTTTCTCTTGCTTTCTTAACCAATCAGTAGAATAGTCAACTTTACGGTGATGAATCTTGGTCATTTCCTTTTGCATCCGAGTTTACAATGTAATTTTACCTTGTTAAGTGTTCTTGTAGTCTTTAGAGACGTGGCTGTATGTATGTCTTGTGGGGAATAATAAATGTATTTCAACTAGAAAACTGACTAATATTATTTTAGTTGATACCTTGTTTCTTGTTCTTCAATTACTGGTTCTTGATGTGGATAGAAATAAAATTGGTCCCAATGTTCCTGTATATCTTGTGGAGACGTACGATAATAAATGAATTTCAACTAGAAAACTGACTTCTATTAGTATAGTTGATACCTTGTTTCTTGTTCTTCAATTACTGGTTCTTGATGTGGATAGAAATAAAATTGGTCCGAATGTTCCTGCGGGTTATTTCTGGGTCATCAGTTGATTGTTGGCTATGCTCCCCTTTCATTTAATACGTTCATGTACAATGGCAGGAGGAGAGAAGTGACTGCTCTTATTTTCTATGAACTATGATAATTTCTTCTTGTTATTGCTTTATATGTTTTTTATGGACTTGATGACTATTTAGAGTTTCCATTTATAGATCAATATCACTAGCCATTGTAAAGAGTACTATTAATTGTCTAGGAACATTTGTACTTCATGTTGGAAGCATCTAATGGTTGTGGTTGGTCTTTTTGTAGCTTTTGGTATTAACAGATTTGGAGGCAGATTATTTGAACATCTATGATTCATCATCTCGCATTAATAAACTAGTCATTCCAGAATTCGTAGTACAAGGAGTATTTTGCTCTCTTTTCCTCTTCACTGGCCATTGGTTCATGTTTCTTATAACCGTCCCTGTTAGCTGCTACCACATAAATTTGTAAGTATTTCTTGACATTAATATGAGGCATGATTTATTTTTCCTTATGCTTTGTGTAATGTATGAGGTATAATGCTGGTGTTTCTTTGTTATGTATGATACCCCTTTATTGTCTAAAGTGTTATGGATGCCAATATGAATATAACTCAATGAGTTGAAGACATTTTACTCTCGATCAAGAGGTCAGAGGTTTGAATTCCTCCACCCTCACGTTTTTGTACTCTCTAAGGTGTTATAGATGAGGCTTATGATGATCTTTACTTGTAAAGCGGATCTAGCTTGCACTCATATTTATATACTTTTTTCTTTTGTCATGGAAAAAAGATTATATATACTTCTTAATGTGTCAATATGTTTTGTTTTATTATTAAGCACAGTATTCTTAGAGATGCAAACATGTGAAAGCTAGTTGGAAGGCTTAAGAACATCAAATAGTTTCTCTCTGAAGTTGAGATGGTCAATTCTAGAATGATTGAACTGTAGATAGCTATAATTGTCAAATTAACTTTTGGTAATAGTTCTCCCTCTGTATGAGGGATTAGTGCATTTCGGCATTTTCTGATGCTTTTGGGGAGTATTAGAGCCAGGAGGAGCTTATAATTTTAGATAATCAGTGATTAGTGTTTCTGGTGGCACAATGAGCTCATAAGCTGAGATTTACAGTTCATAATTTCAATTTTATCTGGTCTATGGCTCCTGCTGGTATGGTTTTTAAATTGATTTTCATCGTCTCCCTTTATTGGGCTGCTTCCATGTTTTTCAACATGAAAAATGAGGAAAAGCAGTTGTTAGATCCCTCAAGCAAATGTTAATGACTTATGTGGAGTACTCTCTATTGTAGTGTTCTCTCTGTACTTATTTTGTTTTGAACTAACTTCTAAAGTTGAGTATCTCGTTGGGTGGTATAGCCACCTCTTTGGCAGTAAGCGTGAAGAAAAGATTTACGAGATAAATGTCCTGACTCAAGCAACTAAAATTTAGAATCGATTAGGCTAAACGATATCCAACATGGTTGGAATGGATAACCATTCGTCCACATCTTTGTCATGGTAATACCTTTTGAAATTGAGCATTCACTCACCTAGATCATAATGAGTTGATGATTGCATATTGAACGGATCTTATTGACTAAAGCACTGAAAGTAAACATTTTTTTTTTTGTTTTTTGTTTTTTTTTGCATATATTACTTTTTCATCAATATAAAATGAAGCTAGGATTTTTGCTATTCTTAAAAGATAAAGGTATAGAAAAAAATGTTGAGGCTGGCCAAGACTAAGTACCAATGTATAACTAAACTAGGCTTGGATAGAATAGTGGTTTACAACTATGATGTTTGACGAAGAATAAAAGAGATATGAGTAGATATATAGAAAATAGAAGATCAACTAAGTATCGCACTCTTGGAGATTGTGAACAATACAATGGAAAATTTTGTTGCACCACACCAATGTACGAAGAAATATAAATAAATACAGATGGTTTAACAGTTAAATGATAACTTATGTAATTTCATTCTGATTAAGGGAGTAGCGCATGCTTGTTTTTGGATACTTTTGTTGTAATTACTATCAACTACCAAAAGGACTCTATATTCGAGATTCTTGATGAACCAATTATCCTGGTGCCATTGTTGCTTTGTTCTTTTTTTTCTAAACATTCTTATTCCATGTAGCTATTCCAGTAATATACTGAAATTTAATTCCATTAGATATGTTCTCCGTCGACTGAATTACACCACTTATTGTTTGAATCTTAGATGCTTTAAATAAGTATAATTGATTTTCAGTGGTGGCTTGAAACTAGTGCCTTCTTAAAGAATAAAACTAGAGTTTTCAAATGTATGATATCCTATTGTTTGAGGATCCTGCAAATATGTTTTTAATAGATTCTCAGTGATGGATAGACGTCTACTGCTGGTATTTTTTAGAAATAAAACTAAAATTTTCTAGATGAAAGTTTCTATTCCACTAGTTGGACCGAGAATTTTCAAGCATTTCCCCGTTTTTGTGTGTATATGATGTATATTATCCGGTTACAATGTCCCAGGTTCTTGAAGAAGGAGCATCTTATTGATGTTACTGAGGTCTTTAGAACTCTTAAACGTGAGAAGTATTTTCGTTTGGCCAAGCTTATCTTCTACTTGCTTTTGTTCCTCGTAGTTATCTTCAGGTAAGTCTGCAATTTCATTGTTTCTCTCCTCTTAACTATTTAGAAAGTGGTATCCTTTCTGATTGAAGTTTCCTTGTTTTCTGTATAGAATAATAATGGTTGCCGGAATGAAATCTGTTTTTGACTCTGCACCTGATGATATAGACATTCGCTCCACTGTCCTCGAATTCTAGAGTATTTATTTCACCATTTAGCTCGAGTTGAATCCATCATCTGTTTTAAAATTCGTATATGATTACATGAGAAATTATCTACTCTTTTATTCATTGCAAAGTTCTTAAATATAATGCTGTTGCACTGATTTTGATACTGTTATGTTGGTTTTGGAAGCTGTATACCATGAGTATCTGTTGCCTTGGCGCCAGTATGTTGTTAATAACGCATGGCTCGAGGATCTTGAACTTTGTTCTGCTAGCAAATCTTGCTTCTTTCTAGCTTTTGCTGGTCCTGTATGTGCGCTATAAATTAAGTTAGAATGTTCAATAGCTCTTCATATATTAAAGATGTAGCTTTCTGTAGCTTTATGGATGACTCCCATGCTTTTGACATCCTGGTACATGCGCACTTGCATACACACGATTCTCCGTTATGCATCGTGGATTCATTTCGTCTTAACGATAAAGATAAAGCACGAACATGGACATTATTCATTCTGAATTTCACCTGTCATACTAGCATTCTTACATGTATTAAATTACCATGAACTGCAGGCTTACTTTGTCTGCTTTCAACTCTTTATCTGATGAAGACGACGTCCTACATTTATTTTGATCGCCACTCTTATTAGTTCGTATTACGGGTTCTAAAGCATGTCTAGTCGATATTTGTATGGGAGATACACGGAGGAAACGAATTTGGACTTGGCAACTTCAAACACATTCAAACAGGTTTTTCCTCCCATTCCCATCCATTGGCTTGGTAGGCTCCATTGCAATGGCAGTTCATATGTTCTCCAATTAAAAATGTTGTTATTGACGAATGAATTTTAGCCTTATAGGCAGTTATGATTGTCAATTTTAGCATTTTTCTTTTTGCGATTACATGGATTATACCGAATTGCACGTATCTTTGCTTCAGGATTAGGGTCTCATATTTGCACAGTTTTGGAATATCAACTAGTTTCAATTTGAAGTATTCTTGTAAGGATTCAAAGAAATTCTACCATTCGATTTCAACAAATATATTAAGTGTTAAATGCCTATAAATGATAAGTTTGGTCAAATATTATTTTGTCAAAGGAATATTGTTGTAGACATATATTCTCGATCGAGAGATCAGATGTTTAAATTTTTTTATTTTTTTATTTTTTATTTTTATATGTTAGTCCGTAAACTTCTATAAAAATGGTTTGTAATTTAGTTCTTGTACTTTCAATTTTGTTGAAAATATTAGTTTGTAATTTAGTTCACTTTTGTAACAACTTTGTTGGGTAAGATTTTAGTTCCTATGGTAAAATTTTTTCATCAAAATTATGTCAGTTTATATTGCTTAGTGATTTAGTTTGGTAAAATAAATTTGGTTCTTGATGTATATTGATCTACCTATGTTAGAAATTCAATTTTTCATGACAGGGACTAAATCATTACAAATGGTAAAAATTTAGAGACTAAATTATTACTCATTAAAGTTGTTGGATAAATGGTTACAAATTTAACAATAATAAGAACTAAATCATCATTCTAAATGGTTATTTTCATAAAAGTTTAGGAAACAATGTATTGAAAAAAAAAAAAGAAAAAAACTCATGAAGTGGAATCTTTTGATTCGCAAAAATTTCAACAAAAAAATTTTGTCCGAGAGAGTTTTACTCCATACCTATAGAGAGTAATAAATAAATTATCGATTCTAGAGACTATGTCTATGCCCCTTGAGCTAATCTTACGGCTGAAACGCAAATCCACAAATCCACAATTTCAGCAACTATGTATGCGCCACTAATTTCGAGAATTATCTAGAAGACACTTTTAGATGGGAATCTCCGGGACGATTTACTCTCTTATCCCCTATTTCTTATGAGATCCCACATTAGTTGGAGAGAGGAACAAACATTCTTTAGAAGGGCGTGGAAACCTTTCTTAGAAGGAAGTGGAAACATCTCCCTAGCATATGTGTTCTAAAAACCATGAGGCTAAAGACGGTACGTAACGGGTTAAAGCAAACAATATCTGCTAGCAATGGACTTGGACTGTTGTACACTAGCTTAATCGTGTTTAGGTGATCTTTGGAACTTATGGTTGACCGTAACAGCTGCATTATCTCATACAAGACTCGGCAATAATTCACGTCCCTTTTAGCTATCTCATACAGCAAAGTATCCACCCTCGTTTACCGTAGGTACAGTTATTTAGTTGTTACCCTTTCATGAACACAATTTCAGATGAAGATTAATCCTTTTTTTTTGGGGTGTTTGCCTTTCCAAATTACTCCGAAGTGGAAGAGCTTCCCATGGTTGTGTTTTGTAAAATTATTTTGCAGACAAAACTCTGAATGGATGAAGGGGGAAGACTCTTTGGACATAAAGATTGCAACTAAAACCGTAACCGTCCAAGACCACTGCTAGCAGATATTGTCCCCTTTGGGTTTTTCATTCTAGGATTCCTCTCAAGGTTTTAAAACCCGTCTGTTAGAGAGAGGTTTTCACACTATTCTAAGGAATGCTTTGTTCCCCTCTCCAACCGAGGTGGATCCCACAAAAACCTTGGATCCAACCATCAACTGCATTTAAACAATATTTTAAACTAGAAAACTTGCAAACCCTCAAGCACAAAATGCCCACAAAAAGAACACAGAACCTCCACACCTACCACCCATAAGTTCTCTCAAAACCTAACCATGTCCTAGCAGGAGCTCAGTCATCAAATAATTATAACAATTCGGGTATGGAAAACCCCGGAAAGCGTGTACTTTTATCAGCCGTGATGATTCGTGCTGTATTTACTCGTAACGACCTTGCACCAAATATCATCTTTCTCTCGCTGGCATTTAAGAAACCCTTTAACATCTTGAACTTCTGAGTTATTCTAGAAAGACTGGATTCAAACCTAGAATTAAGCAGATATTAGAACTCAAAGCTCCTGATCCATTTGTTTGGTAAACAAGGATTGAGAGTTCAAAAAGAAAGAGTACATATTAGAGCTCTACCCCAAAATATGGTTTCCACACCTATACCACTCTACAAAGGAAGTCCATAACAAATGTGAAATCCCGAAATACACATTCCAAGGACCATAATATATGAATATCAATCTTATGACCAAGTGTGAATCCACATCAGCAATTACTTGATTTGCAATCCACATAAAGCTTAGAGGAAGGTAATAAAGTCAAAGGTTCAAAGGTATTGAAGATAGAAGAAGAAGAAAATGAAAGAAAAAGAGGAAGGTAATAGAGTCAAAGGTTTAGGAAAGAAAAACTCACAAGAATAAGGAGAAAGAAGGAGAAAGAGAAGAAAAAGAGAGAAAAGATCTGAGATCTATAGCGATAGGAGAGAAAAGAGACCGTAAGGGTTCGGGTTCAGGTTCAGGAGAAGTTAAGTTGGATGAATCTCCCACTCTCTCCAAATTCTTCTTTTCTGACTCTCATATGTTTTTACACTTCAATCCGGTAATATCGTATAAGGGGAAGAATTGATTCTTATGAACCGATCTCAAGCTACTAGAAAAAGCTATTCTATTGATGGGATTTGGTATCATAGGCAACATGCAAACAGTAGATTATAAAAGGGGAAAAAAATAATATGGAACAATAACTCATGTAGACTTTAGCCATTGTATAAAGGAAATAGCGACAAACATTAGATAAACTACTAAATGAAAAGGAAAATAACATAAGCAACGCAGTTAACAATAAGCATAACTTAAAACCTAAAAATATCAGCTCTATTGTTTAAATAAGAACCAACTTTACTGACTAATGTAACATACACAATAAGGCTTGAAGTTAGAAAATGATCTTCAGCTGACAATAATCTTGGACATAAGATGACTAAAAACTGTTTGGATAAAGAAGATCAAGAGCAAGAAACCAAAATAGTGTGATCCCACAGATCATAGCCCTCCTATTCCTTTAAATCCAAACTTCACAAAGAACACTCAATTCAATAGAAGCAATGAGTTCATTATTTGTCCAACCTCGACAAACATTATCGATTAAAGGATACCGAGGAAACAAAATACTTTTAGCTTCACAGTAGATCATATCATGTGAATTTGAACAACAGATGATACTTAACAGAGCAATCGGATTACATACTTACTCATCAAAATCAAGATGGATTAAGTAACACATTGTCATGAGAGATCCAGCAGAACTAAATTATTAGAGAATCCATATGCATAACTCATATTGGCAACTGAATTGAAACATGGCAGAAAGTTAAATTTATCAAGTACTTGACATATACAACGTCAAAGTGTGCAAAACTAAGGATTAAAAATGAAGCTGTTATTGAAGCTCCAAAAGAGCCAATAAAAACATGCAAGGGAAACTTATTGAACTACAGAATATCGACACCATCTTATAAATCCCATCATATATCCGAAACCCCATTTCAAGGATGAGTTGAAATCAGACAACCCAGTTCCCACACGTGCACTATGACCACGAAATTCAATCAGATTCAGATGATACAGAGCCAGAGATACCTAGGTTCTCCATCTCGAGGCGCTCGAGGGCCTTCTGGTGAGCCCAAGTCTCAATTGTGAGATCAGGCTTGGCGTTGAGGCCAACGCCAAGAATCACAATAGTAAGAAAACTAGTAACATAACAAGGAAGCTCCCAATCCTCCCATTTACGGGACTGACCTGGTGGAGGCGGCGTCCGATTGAAAAGATAGCCCTTCGGCCGATCCTCATGGCCAGGACTGGTCCACCGACTCTGACCGGCGGCGGCTCCACCGCGGGTCCGGAGAGAAGAGAGAAGGCGGTGCCGGAGCATATTTGAGGGCTTTTTGAGTTGATCTTTCGATTTCAGCGACTCTGCGAGTGATCCAGCGGGAGCGAAAGACAGAGAGAAGACTGAGACCTTGACAAGCTGAACGTCGTCGTTTTGGGAAGCTCGATTTTCGTAGGGGACTTTTCAAGTCCTTTTAGTTGTGAAGTATTTTATTAACTATTTCTACATTATAGTATTTTAAAAAAATTTTGTCAAATTTAAAAAACAAAAATCAATTTCCCAACGGTAGCTTTTGTAAAAATTAAGCGTTGGAATATAGTTTTCGAGGAGGCTTACGAGTAATTAGTAACTTTGGCGAGGTCGCATTGAATTTTGTTAGTAGTTAGTGTTCTGCATTTTATATAAGGTCGTTTTCTGTATTTTCTTTTTATTTTTAGTTGAATATGTAAGTCCATGACTTTATTTTAAGAGTATTTATTATGAGTTTCCGCGTATATGATTTAAAGCATGCATGGAGTGACGTCACTAAATCAGGGTAAGAAGATTAGGGGCGTTACAATAGCTCTCTAAGTTATTAGCAATTTAACGGTGCCAGAAAATCTGTACTATAATTTTCACTTCGGTTTCCAGTATTGTCGAGCTAACCTAGGCTGTTTGGGACAATTTATCAATGCGACTAGTCACCCAACCTTGTGGAAGTGCCAAGGTTGTAAACTCGTCTCCGTTGACTCAATAGCTAACCGACACGTGCATGGGGGCCACAATCCCAAATTAGGGTGACTTCATGGTCCTGTGGAAAGGTGGAAAGGTTCGCAAGCTAACCTTCCTTGGATGACATATAGACTATAATTTTATGAGGTACAAAACCACTTAGAACTTCGAGGCCTTCCCAGAAGCTCAAATAGTTGTAGAACTATGTTAAGATTGAGAAATAGAAATAGAATTGGGATCGAAAGTATAATCTTCATTAATGTTTACAACGTTTAAATATGATATAAACTATCCACTAATACATAAAAATGAGGGAAAATATATAACTAAATATAAAATATACTGTTAGTCAACTCTCAAAAATAAAGAAAAAAATATTAACAGATTATAGATATCTCAGATATACTCCATAACTGATTATTAAAATATATTCTCCAAATATCATATCTTATTACTTCTCCTTAAGTTGGAGAGTGTAGGTCAATCACACCCAATTTGTCCTTCAAAAAATCAAACTATGTCTTCCCAAAGCTTTAGTGAAAACATCTGCCAATTGCATTTTAGTCGAAACATAACACGGTTTGATGATTCCAGCTTGTAACTTTTCTCGAACTATATGACAATCTATTTCAATGTGTTTCGTACGTTCGTGAAAAACTGGATTAGCTGCTATATGTAATGCTGCTTGATTTGATAATGCTGGTTTGGATAGTGGAACATTCAAGTCTTGAAGAATGTATCTTAACCAAGTTAAGTTTAAACAAGTATTTTCCATAGCTCGATACTCGGCTTCTGCTGATGATCTAGATACATTAGTCTACTTTTTAGACATCCAAGGAATAATTGAATTTTCAAGAAAAATGCAGAACCTAGAAATAGACTGTCTAGAAGTTCGACAACCACCCCAGTCAGAATCGCAATATGCTTGTAATCTTAAATTGTTTTCAGATGGTAGTAGGAGTCCTTGACCAGAAGTACCTTTGATGTATCTCAGAACTCGAACAGCTGCCTCCCAATGTGGTTTTCTTGGTCCATGCATAAATTGGTTAAGCATACGAACTGAATAAACTATGTCAGGCCTAGTAACGGTCAAATATATTAATCTGCCAATCAACCGTCTGTATTTACTTGGATCATTCAACTTCTCTCCTTCATTTAAAAAAAGTTTCAGATTTTTCTCCAAAGGAAACTTTTCTAGACGTGCTCCTATAAGACCTGTGTCTTGAAGGATGTCTAGAGCATACTTCGTTTGAGACATAAAAATTCCTTTTCTAGACCGAGAAAATTCAATGCCTAGAAAATATTTCAAATTCCATAAATCTTTGATAAGGAATTTCTTGAGTAAACTAGTCTTGAGATATTGAATTTCTTTGAGATCATTGTCGGTCAACAGAATATCATCAACATAGATTAGAATTGTAGTGAAAGAAGTACCTTTACTCTTAGTAAATAAAAAGTAATCTGCTTTGGACTAAGTGTAGCCTGCATTTTGCATAGTGGTAGAAAATATGGAGAACCAATTGCGAGAAGCCTGTTTTAATCCATAAAGAGATTTATGGAGCCGACATAATGTATTCTCCCCCTGTCGGTGAAGACCTGGTGGTAAAGACATATAGACTTCCTCGTCTAGTTTACCATGGAGAAAGACATTTTGAACATCCAACTGATGGGTGAACCATTTTCGAGCAGCAGCAACAGTGAGTAAGCAACGAAGTGTAGTAAGTTTCTCTGTAGGAGAAAATGTCTCTGTGTAATCAATACCTTCAACCTGAGTGTATCCCTTTGCTACCAGTCGAGCCTAATAACGTTCAACAGAACCATCAGAGTTGTATTTAATTTTGTACACCCAATGACAACCAATAGCTTTATGACCAGGTGGTAGAGGAACGAGAGACCAAGTATGATTACGTTCCAAAGCTGCAATTTCATCATTCATAGCCTGCTGCCATAACAGGTCGCTAACTGTCTCGTCATAGGTTTTAGGTTCTGTCTGAGATGTAATAAGAGCTAGAAAAACACGTTGAGTAGGAGAAAAACGAGAGAATGTAAGGTAATGATGAAGGGGATACCAGGTGCCAGTGTTGGGACTTGAGCTAGAGGTTAAATAATTGGCTCCAGAAGACATCTCATATATTGAGTTTTTTGTCCTAAAACTCATAGTTTGTAAACAAAAACACATTCTATTTTCAATAAAGTTATTATTCTTGTTTATTTAGTAAAGATTGTATTGAATAAAGTGAATTTTACGATTATTAATCTAAATCCAATAAACTAAGAACACTCTGACTATAGTATTATTACTTGAACTATATGTAGAGACATAAGAGTGTATCAAGTTCAAGTGTATAGTCAAAATGATCTATAGTATAGGGATAAGGTTGGGTACCTTATCTTGGGGACACCATAGATGCGGCCCACTTTTGTATATGATATAAACAATGTGATCACTAAATTGTACATGCGGAGACATGTGAGTGGGGGCGTCCTATGCAATGAGTATTGCATAAGACCGGACTAGGAAGAAAATCACTCTCACTTTATAATGTCGTTTACTATTGAGACTGATTTTCTTTTCATTTGATGACCTAGGTAACTCAATTTTAATCCTGAGCTAACCATGAACTCCTGTTTGCTCGAGTTCGCCGACTCAATAGGCCTCCCATTTCAAGGGTAAGATTGGGTGAATGGCTGGGGACGTGGGGTGCAAGATCGAATTCACTCCTACCCACTTTTAGGGATAGAAGAGAGGTAGTTCCCTTAAGTACTGACTTTAAGTTTTGAACAAGGGGCCCCACCCTCTCATTGGCCTGAGAGGGATTCGGTTTACTGGTTGGACCACAAACCAATTGTTTATTAGAGGACCAGTGGGACATAAGGAACAAGAAGTAACTTCATGGGTAAAACGGTAAATTGATCCAGCTCTAGTTACGAACAACCTGTGAAGGATTGACTTACTAATCATGGTTATATCAAATGGACAGAATTATATCTATAGTGAGGGGAGTGCAACTACTAGGCTATAGCGGAGTGTCCTAGTAATTAACGAATGTTGGTTAACAAGGTTAATGAGTTTAACCGGTTAATCTTGGATTGTTGGAGCCCATGATCTATAAGTCCATTAGGTTCCTCTACTAGTCATATCGGACTAAACCATATAACAGTGTGACGAGTGAGTTCAAATTCAAATTAGGGAATATGCGCTACATATATACGATATATTTAACCGCATTTTTGTTTTGTTTACGAATTAAACAAAAAGAGAGAATCTGAGATATTTAAATAAGATTTAAATATCTTAATCAAATATGTGTCGGAATTGATTGAGATTGTCATTTGAATTAATATTAAATATTTTAATTAATAATTTAATATTACTTTAATTTGAAATTAATAATTCAAATTTATTGTTGAATCAAAATGAAAGAGAGTCAAAATGTTGACTTCATTTAATGGAAAAATCCATGTTTGAGTTAGTGGAATTTTGAGGGGTTAACTCAAACTTGCATGCTTGCCACATAATCCCAAACATTTGAGTGGAATTTTGAGTGTCAAAATTTGGTGATCTCAAATTTGCATGAACATGTAAACATGACTCTTTAAATAGAGTGATTAAGGTACATGGAAGTTCTTCCTTGGAAAAACCTCGAGAAAAACCTCTCACAAACTCTCTCTTCATATATACTAAATCCCTCCCAAGTTTAGTCACTCATCGGATTCCACAATCCCGTTCTAAGGCTGGAAAATAGTGGAGAAGACACTAGTGGTGGTTCGAAATTGGTTCGTGAGGAAAAAGGAATTTGAACTACAAAAGGTTAGTACTCAAAGACCTTGAGTTTTAATACTTATGAACATGCTAGTTATTTACTATAATTGATGTTCTAAGAGTGCCTAAGATCCAAATTGCTTTCTCATGTGTTATATTAACACCATCATCATAATCCTTATGCCAAGCTGGAGGCTGTTTAGTACGAATAGAACGTCGGAGTGGAACTGATGTATCAGGTGGGATAGGATTAAAATTAGTGGGTGAGTCTGGAGAAGAAACAGAAGGTGGAGGAGACGACCAAGTAGTAGGTGAAGGAATAGAAGGTGGAGGAGTACTATTAGAATAGATGTTTGAGTAGGATGGATCATGAAATGGTACAATAGGAGTCAGAAGGAGCTAATGTCAAAGTTTATGAAGCTGATGAAAAAGGAAAACCATTCACAAAACTAAACATCACGGCTGATAAAGAATTTTTGAGATTGCATGTCATACAACTTGTAACCTTTATGACCACAAGGATATCCTATGAAAACACAAGGAATTACCCGAGGTTTAAATTTTTGCTTAGGATGTACTATAGTTGCATAACATTTACAACAAAAATCTTTAAGATGATGAAATGTAGGTGGTCATTTGTAGAGTGCTTCAAAAGGTGTCTTATTAGATAACAAT